TGGCTTGTGCTTTGTGGTTCTGCCCTTGCTGCATGGCCTGCTCTCTGTGTTGATTAAACCTTATTAGCTGATAGAACCACTGGGTTTCTTGATGATTTTCTGTTTGTTTCCGCTGTATATTGAAGGCTTCAGCTGTCACTGTGGCCTTACCCACCATTCTGCTCACTATGTCACCCTTGGCTTCTGTGTGTCATGGTTCTCATCAGATTTATCCTTTTATCATTCTGTAACATCCTGTATCTTTGGTAATTATGCTTGTGCTAAAGACTTAAAGCCTCTTCTATTTCTTTCCTGTTTTCCTTTTCGGTGATGTTTATACATCTTTAACTTCTTTCTGTACCATTATAATGCAAGTAAAGTTTTTGAATTTCTTATAATTGAGATACATTTTTTCATCCGCTCTGCAATCTGTCTTTTTTTTTCCTTGCTAACAGCTGATGATTGAACTCAAGGCCCCATGTTTTCAAGGAAAGCACTTTATCAACTGAAGTGTTTTCCCAGCTCAAATCTGTCCTTTCATTGATGTGATTATATCTTGCACATTTGATGTAATTGTTGGTATGTTAGAGCTTAATTCTACCATTTTGTATTTTACTTTCTAACTGTGCTCTGGTTTTTGTTGTCATTTTCTCTCCCCTGCCTCTTGTGGGTTACTTGGTTATCTTTAATGTCTTTAAGATTTATTTCTTCCAGCTGGGTGTGGTGGTGCACACACCTTTAATCTCAGCATTTGGGAGGCAGAGGCAGGCAGATCTGTGCAAGTTCAAGGCCAGCCTGGTCTACAAAGTGAGTTTCATGATAGTAAGGGCTGTTACACAGAGAAACTCTGTCTTGGGGGCAGGGGAGATACATTTTTTCTGGTGATATTTTCTTAAGCAGTTGCCCTCCAAGTGTCATCATATTCACATAGCTCATCACAGACAAGTGTAGTTGTCATTTATTAATTCGAGTGAAATGTAAAAAATCTTGCTTCGTTGATGCTCCCTGGTTCTGCAATTAATTGTCTTTAATGTCCTGTGCACACATTAGGATTTCATCCAGCAGTGTTGGAATTTTTGCTCAGCCATCAGACATAATTTAGAAAAGTTAAGAAGGAAAGCCTGTGGTACTTGAATTTTTGCTTACTATGTTTTTCCTTCCTATTCCTCCAGGATGCATTATTTTACTGTTTTCTCTCTATTTAGAGTACGTACTTGTGCCATTCTTTTAAGGCAGATCTTTGCTAACAAATTCTCTTAATTTCTGTCCATCTGGTAATGTTTTCATATTTCTCTCCATTCTAGACACATTTTCCCTGAAGGCAGGACTCTGGGTTGATAGTTCCTTGTCTTCAAGTTTATGAGTTTAACTCTAATGTGGCTTGCGTACAGATGTCTGGGTCTCTGCTGTTTGGTTTTTACTCCGCTGCAATCTGTAGCTTATTTCTTGTCAGATGGCCGAGTGTTGATTTGTCATTTTCAGGTACTTTCCAGCACTTTACACTGCACTTCCAGCAAATGGCATGAAGGGTAGACCTACTACCTCTCTGTTACTCTGAGAAACTTCTGTCCTCTGCCATCCTGTTCAGTTTCTCTGTGTCCCATCCACCCTGCTGTTGAGCCCATTTAGTGCATATACAGAAGTTACTGCGGGTTTGGGTTCTAAAACTTCCATTTGTGTTTTTCTTTCTTTTCTGTATGTGGTGTGTGTATATGCATGGTCATGTGCTTTTGTACACAATGTGCATGTGTGTAGAGGTTCCAGTGCTGGGATTCTATGCCCATGCTGCCTTGCTTGTCTTTTTAAAGTGAGAGCTGGGGTTCAAACTCAGGTCCTGGAGCTTGTACGGCAGTTTTTTTTTTTTTTTTTTTTTTTTTTTTTTTTTACCAGCTGAGCCATCTCCCCAGAATCACAAAAACATTCCTTCATTTTGTTCTCCCATCACATCTTCATTTGTGTGTGTGTATTTTTCTCTCTTTTAAGATTTATTTGTATTATGTATATGTGTGTGTCATGGGCTGTGACATAAATACAAAGATGGCAATTAATAATTCAGGTGTCAGCCTACCAGATGAATAACTCTATGATGGAGGAACCCCATCAAGCAAGGCTTGTAGGAGCACAAACTCTGAAAACTGGTTGCTTCTGTCTGTGATTTTTCTCATGTGCTGTCACAATTCCTCTCTAAAAAGAACAGCTGTGGAGTTCTTTCCACAGCCCATTGGTGGTGTGTTTTGTACTTTGGGGCACATATATCTGTGGATGGTCAGAAAGATGATTTTGTCTTAAGCTGTCTAATTTTGATGACTAGAAATAATATTAGGATATTTTTCACAACTCAGACTGACATAGGAAAGTAACAGTATTCTCAGCTACAAAGATAGCTTTTTACCAATTTAGCTAATTTTAGCCCTCAGAGCAAATTCAAAGTAAACTAGTTGCCCCTGCAAATGATTGCACAAAGACAGATTCCCAGGTGTCTGTTTAACCAAGGTCAGGCACAAAACAACTTTAGTAGACATAACTCCCTGCAGCAATTGACTTTCTGCACGTACTCCTAGACCTCAGTTTTATGATTCAAGGCTCAAGGTTCAGCCAAATAACTGTTTATTGTTTAGGTCCTGAATTTCAATGTCACTCTCCATCCGGAAACATTAGGCTCTGGATGTCTACGTGCCTTTTACTTTGCTTTACAGACTGCCTGTCAGGGACCTGGCAGACAGCCAAGCATTGCCATAGCTACAGTCAGTGTGACATTTCAGGAGGCCATGTGATTTCTCATGTGTTACCAGAATGGCTCTGTTTCTTATTGTTTACTCAAATAATGCTATGTGACCCTGATTATGTAATTTATTTATTGTCCAGAGTTTGTTCTGTAAGTAGCAGTAGATAGTGAGTGAGTGAAGAGGTGAGTGATTGAATGAGTGAGTGTGTGAGTGATCGAGAAGAGAAATGTAGCTGTATGTGGAGAAATATAGGAGGGTAGAAAGAAGTGTGTGTAGAAGAGAGATGTGTTGAGAAAAGAGATGTAGCTGTTGAGAGATGTATGGATAGAAAAGAGCTATGTAGATGAAATGTATAGCTGTGTAGAAGAGGTATGTAGAAAATGTGGCTGTGTGGAGACAGAGATTTTCAGAAAGGGATATTTCAAGATGAAGTAAAGAAAAAGTTACCATCAGAAAGCATGTGTTTCTTTCTTATTCTCCTCAGACAGAAAAAGCCTAGCTCTCACTGCATTCATGGAATTTTTTTGCATACCCTGGGTGCTGCCTGGAGGCTGGCCCCCCAGAGGCAGCTTTACGTTTGTATCCATGTGTATGTGTGTACAGATGTCCAGGAGGCCAAGGGAGGAGATCAGATACCCTGTTACTAGAGTTACCCATGGTTGTGAGCCACCTGATATGAATTCTGGGAGCTGAACTTGAATCCACTGGGAGAACAAACAGCAAGTGCTCTTAACTGCTGAGCTGTCTCTCTAGCTCCAAATGTTTCTTTCTTTTCTTTTTGTATTTTTTGTTTTGTTTTGTTTGTTTTGTTGTTTCTTTTTCAAAACTGGGTTCCGCTATTTTGGACCTTGCTCTATAGAGGAGACTGCTCTTAAACTCACAGAGATCTACCTACCTCTACCTCCCTAATGCTGGGATTAAAGGTGTGCACCACCACCCAGCTCCAAGTGTTTCTTTATTGTTGCTTTTTTACTTCTGTGATTCTGGAGATTGAGCCCCTTGGTGCTCCACCACAAAGCTCTACCACTGGCTCTGATTTTTATTTTCTTTTTTTATTATTAGCATCAAGCATTTTTGTAAGCTTGTTGAGGAATTTTTCCTGAGGACTCCTTTAAGCAAACTTAGACAGGTCTAACATTTCTGTCCCCTGCTACCTCCGTGGTCAGCTTCAGATTGTGCTGTGATTGATGATCTTCAGATTGTGCTCCGAGGCTGCATCTGATTTTCATTGGCCCTCTTTAACAACATTTGGAGAGCTAGGGGTATTGGTTGAGGTGGAAGCTTAGGCTCCCCTAGGCCTTTGCTAATACCTAGGAAGGAGACTCTGGTTCTCCCTGGGCAGAGGAAGGTAACATTACCATTATGATGTGGAAGTTCCCACTCCTGTTGGGCCCCTTAAGACCTTTACCTGTTCTATTTCATATTTATTTATTTATTTATTTATTTATTTATTTATTTATTTATTTATTTTTGGTTTTTCAAGACAGGATTTCTCTGTGTAGCTTTGGTGCCTGTCCTGGATCTCACTCTGTAGACCAAGCTGGTCTCAAACTCACAGAGATCCACCTGCCTCTGCCTCCAGAGTGCTGGGATTAAAGGTGTGTGCCACCACCGCCTGGCACCTGTTCTCTTTTCATTGGCTTCTCCTGGAACTTCTGGATGCTGGGTTCTTAATTTCTATGTTGGGGTTGTAGTAAAGAATAAAACCCAGTAGCCCTGCCCCCGAGTCCCCAGGTGATTTACTGGTTGGCTGTCCTGTGCCTTCTGTCCACAGACATTTGTAGCGTTTATCTAATTATTCTTTATTAATAGAAATCAGGAGTCAGATATCAGGTAAGAACCTGAATGATCAAAGAAGCGATGGAGATCTTTTCTCAGCTCCACTTTACTACTTCCTGTCTCCTATCTGTCTTCAGTCCTTCAAGACCTGTCTGGTTAATTTTGGTCAGCTAATGGCTAGCTCTGCCCTCTGACTCAGAGCAAACCTATTGTCCTAGTGCAATCAAGATATCATACAACACACATTTTTCTTAAAATAACAAACTTCTAGTTGTACTTCGTAGGAAGAATGGTGTAAAGCTGAGACTTTTTCATCGTCTCAGAAGCAGAGGTCTTCTAGGCATTTTTAACAGTTCATGTGCCTAATAATTATTTCTTATCTAGTAAAACTTTGTCCTATCTAGTATTGAGTATATCAGTATAAGATACTGAAAAGTATTTTTTTAAAAACAAAACATGCGAGTAGGCAGTGGGTTATTTTACCTATGCTAGTGACTTGCTGTCTTCTCTGCCTAGGTAGGAGCAAACACTATGGATAACCCCTTGCTGAAGTACAGTGCAAAGGATTACTTCTTCAAGGCAGCACTCTGTCACTTTATAGTGGATGAGCTAAATGCCAAGGTGAGAGCATGCTCGTTTCTGATGACTTACTTTACTCTTGAGAAGAGATGCTTTGTTGTTCTTGATGTCTTTTCATGCAGGTCTTGCGAGCTGTGGCGACGGCTCAGTTGATAACGCACTGAGCTCACAAACCTGCAGACCGAGTTCACATACCCAGCACCCATGTAAAAGCCAGATGCAGTGGCTCACATCTGTCTTTCCTGCATTGAGGAGTAAGGCAGAGATAAGTAGGTCCCTGAAGCTTGCTGGCCAGCCAGCCCAGCCAAGTGATGAACTTCAGGTTCAAGGAGATGCCCCATCTCAAAAAAGGAGGGTGACTGAGAAAGACACTTGATACTGACCTCTGGCCTCCACATATATACACTTACGTGCATATGCACCCTCCCTAACATGCTTGGGCACACAGCCACATGAATACATACTCATTCTGCCCCAACAAATACAAGTAAAAGTAATAGTTCTTCGATGATGTGTGAGTGTGAATCTTTCGACAGCTGCGGTGCTGGCCTCTTCAAGTTTCCTGTAGTGGTTGCTTTAAATGAAATGGGGAACTAAAAGAGGGACAGTAAAGCTAATGTCCTCTGTCCCTCTTTTTGTTTTTTTGGGGGTTTTTTTGTTTTGTTTTTCGAGACAGGGTTTCTCTGTGTAGCTTTGTGCCTTTCCTGGAACTCGCTTTGGAGACCAGGCTGGCCTCAAACTCACAGAGATCCGCCTGCCTCTGCCTCCCGAGTGCTGGGATTAAAGGCGTGCGCCACCACCGCCCGACTCTCTGTCCCTCTTTTTACATTTGTTATTTATTTTTTGTGGGGAAGGGAGAGCATATGAATATGTCACAGCAAAGATGTGGAAGCTAGAGAACACCTTTTAGGAGTTAGTCTTCTTTGACCATACAGGATCCATGGGTCAAACTCAATTCAGGCATGGCGGCAAATGCCTTTACCTGCTAAACTACCACACTGGCCCTAATAGCTTTTGTTGTTGTTGAGACAGGGTCTCCCTATGTAGCTCAGGCAGTCGTGGAACTTACTGTGTGGGCCAGGATAACCACGAACTCAGAGAGATCCACCTGCCTCTGCCTCCCAAATGCTGAGATTAAAGGTGTGTGCCACCACACCCAGCTTCTAAGTCCTCTTTAAAAAAAAAAAAAAGTGGCCGGGCGGTGGTGGTGCACGCCTTTAATTCCAGCACTCGGGAGGCAGGGACAGGCAGATTGCTGTGAGTTCGAGGCCATCCTGGTCTACAGAGTGAGATCCAGGACAGGCACCAAAACTACACAGAGAAACCCTGTCTCGAAAACAACAACAATAAAAAGTACACAAACCAGCTCAGAAGTGGAATTAGAATAGAATGAAGGTCGAGGCTGCAAATTAAGATGGCAGCTAGAAAGCAAGACTGACCAAGCAGCCTTGGCACTGGCCATCTAGAGTTCACAGAGCCACGAAGAAAAACTGCCCTAGAGTCCCTCCTACCCTATGGGTATTTGGCATTTGGAGGGTGTGAAGGAAGGTCTCTGTTTAGTAGACAAATGTAGAGCCTGGTGTGAATTAGATTTTATTCAGTTTCTTCTCTTGAGCAGCCCAACTGAAATCTAAAAATTATTTTAGAAATTTTATTCTCAATTGAAATTGAATATCCAAATAAATAGGTTCCCTGTGTTACGATGTGGAGTTTAACATGATATGTCTGCAACAGTTAAATGGGATGAAATGAATTTTTGGATTAATAGGACAGTGACAACTTCCCTAGTTCACTAAGTTTCACATTGACCGGTTGTTTCCTTCCTCAGCTGGCTCTTGAGAAGTACGAGGAAATGTTCCCGGCATTTACTGACTCCAGAGAATGTAAACTATTGAAAGTAAGTACTGAAGCCATTTTGAAGACAGAAGCCTTTACTGTCAGGTGATGGCACTTAAGTGAGACTGCTGATGGGTGGAGTTTTAGTAAGTCTTGTGAGGGTGTATTGGTCACTGGACTTATTGCTGTAGTGAAGTAACCCAACAACAGGCAACTTAAAAGAGGAAGTATGTTTTGGCTACATTTTGATGGAACCGTCCATCATGGCAGCAGGAACATGATGTGTCTGGTCACAATGCGTCTTCAGTGAGTAGGCAGAGAGAAATGAATGCTGGTGCCTCACTCGCTCTTCCTTTTATTCAGTCCAGGACTCGAGGTGGTGGGTCTTCCTTCTTTAGCTCTTCCTTCTTCAGTTAAACCTTTCTAGAAACACCCCGAGATGTGTTTGAATGGTGACTCTAACTGGGTCAAGTTGACACTGAGGACAAGCCATCACTTGGGTACCTCAAACTTGGCCTTTTCATTGTTGATATTCATATGTTAAGAGGGTTAGACTGTTTAACACTGTGCCAGAGTAGGCAGAATTGAAAGAGCAGTATAAAGCTAGACCTTTTTCTTGGGTAATTCTTATATTTGGCTATATCCTGCTTTGTGAGATACTAGGAACTTCAGTTCCTGAGATACCTACCAAGGTGATTTGTGTTTAAAGTATTCCTTCAGAAACAGGACATTCTAGCTTAAAGCATTTTCTTGATTTTTTTTTTTTTTTTAATGCCACCAGAAACTTCTAGAAGCTCATGAAGAACAGAACAGTGAAGCTTACACTGAAGCGGTAAGTTATACCTTCAGGAAGTTTTGCATTTTTAAAGGTTTACAGTATAAAAATTCCTTTTTCTTTACATTGTGTAAATTCTGAACATTTATTTGAATGTGGTTCAACTTGCTTGTATTTTTTTTAAGATGTCTACATGTCCCACAAACTACTTCCATTAAGGAAGGGTTAGAGAGATGGCTCTGTGGTTTGGAACATTTGTTTCTCTTGTAGAGGTTCAGAGTTGGGTTCCCAGCACCCCACACCATCTGTGACGCCAGTTCCAGAGGACCCAGTGCCCTCTTCTGACCTCAATGGGCACCTGACGCACACATTGTGTACATACATTCATACACATAAAATTAATAAATCTAAAAAACAATTATTTAGTTCCATTAACCCGTCACCATGCAGAAGTTCTCGTTGTATTGAGCCCTGACTCTTGATTTCCACTGAGACTAATTTAGCTGTGATGTTTCTTCAGAAACATGTGACAGAGTCCTAACATGCTGTTTTGGTGATTAGAAAACAGTCTGACAGTGTAAAGAAGGGCTTATGGTTAAAACTAAAATATCAAAACTGGGCCTTTGGTGTACTTTGGTGTATTTGTGATTGATATAGATTACTTTTTTGTACTTGTCTTTTTTGGTTTTGGTTTTGTTTAATCTGTTGCAGTCTTGTGTTCAGAGTCAAAGCAGATTTCTCAGTGGCCTGGAATGAGTTCCACTCCAGTCCTAACGTGACAGTGAAAAGGACTATCTTCACTTTTATCCTTAACTGCTTTCACCCAATGTCACTGTCTTTCTTTGCATGCGCTGAAATCCATCAAGGGACTTCTGCTCCCCATTCCCTAATTATTTGATTGTATGTTTTCATGGTCAGTAAATAATAGTTTTCTTATGCCTTTCTAATTCTTATGCCATGCCCACTGCCCTCTGTCATATAGACTTCACCTTTCCATTTATAATAGCTTTTGTGGGGTTTTGCCATACACATATTCACATCCAGAGAAAAATTAAATGCACAGGCTTATGGCATAAAGGAAAAGGAAAACTGTTTTGGGGGGTGTTTTTTGTTTGTTTGGCTTGGCTTTCTCTGTGCAACAGTCCTGACTGTCCTGGAACTCACTCTGTAAACCAGACTGGCCTTAAACTCACAGAGATCTGCCTGCCTCTGCCTCCCAAGTCCTGGGATTAAAGACAGGCACCACTACCACCCAGCTAGGAAAACTGTTTTTAGTGAGGAAAGTTATAAATTAGAATGAGTAATTTCTAATCAAAGTCAGTGGGTTATTTCAGTAACATCTTCAAACAGCTTAGGTCACTATCATCTTGAGTTTTCAATGTGTTTCGGGGTATAATTCCTATTCTTCATTCCTTAAACCAGGTGAAGGAGTTTGACTCAATATCACGCTTGGATCAGTGGCTGACCACCATGTTGCTTCGAATCAAGAAGTCCATCCAAGGGGATGGAGAAGGAGATGGAGACCTCAAGTGAAGTGCTGACATCTTTGTGGCATGCAGCTCATTCCTTTTTAGTTTTGTCTTCAGGCAAGGCGATCTTTCCGGGATGCCCATTTAATGACTTAATTTTGTTGTAAATAAGCCACACAATTTATGTATTGTTTCAGCTCGCCATGTCTGTTACTGTGAGAATGGGAGGCTTCTATTCAGTTGGTGGTTAAGACAACCAAAGTATATAATGCTTATCAGAGTCCTCATAGTTTTCTGAGACGTACTGCCGAATCTTATTCCTGTTCTTCTGATATTTTCAGGGCCCACGTACAATGTTGCCATGTGCTTTTCTTTTTTCCTAAACTCCGGTATTCGACCCAGTTTTGTAGATGCTTTGCAAAGACGTTGTGTATTGGTATTGGATGGATCCTTTATACAAGTGGCTTAGTTTAGGATGGTTATTAGGAATAAGTTTGTAATTGAGTAGAAACTGTCTAGCTTTCTTTTATAGTTATTTTGATGGTGCTAGTGATGAATTCATTTGCTTTTTATGTTGCCCCATATGCTCACACATACATGGCAGACACTGAGAATAGCTGGGATCTGTTGGCATCACTTGCATTGTAAGGGGAAGGAACTTGCTGGCAGGTCCTGTGGTCCTGTTTCTTGTATGGATGAATGTCAGGGTGGATTTCATTGATATTTTGAACTTAAACACAAAACCTATGAGAAATGGATTTTTCCCCTTCTCGAGAGTTTCCACTTTTAGTCGTAATGGAAATCCCTTCTTCATATTTGCATAAAAATATTTTAACTGGCATCTCCTTTGTTTTCACATTTATACACTCCTCACATTGTCTTCTGGACCATGGTCATGCCAAGCTTGAGCAGAGCTGGATAGAAGATTCCAGCTGAAGCTTGAGAATATGTGTGGTTAAGTGTCCATTTGTTGGACATGGTGGTTAAGTGGGGGTCAGTGTGGCATAAGAATTTATGTTATATCTGGTTGGATAAGAACCTAACCTCTGTCTAATGGTCCCTGGTTTATTTCTTAACTGGTGGTGTGATTTCACTTGTGTGTATGCACTCTGTTGTCCCATTTGACTTATGTAAGATGTATGCTGTTATTTCAGATTCTGACACTCCCTGCTACTTTATATGCTGATACAGTCCTGTAGACATGGCCTTGCTTCCTGAGTCTCCTGTGCATATTTGTATGCTGAGATGATTGATTTGTGCTTGAAGAGCATGTGTTACTAGAAATACTTCATAGTCCTTATGTGCTGCTGTCATGTGACAGACAATGAAACTCCTGATTAATCAGGTATGAAATGGCACTGGAAATGGTGTTTTCATCTTTGGATAGCCCTAGAGTAGGGTCGGTGGTTCTTCCCATGCCAGGCCCAGGGCTAAAAGAGGAGAGTTTGAGGACAGATAAGAAAGTCAGGTCTTTCAGAAGGGAAAGGAAGTAGCAGGATGGGGCTAGAGACATGGTTCCTGCTCTTCCAGGGGGCCCAAGTTTGATGCCCAGCACCCTTGTTGGGTGGCTCAATACCACCTGTAACTCCAGTTTCCCCAGGAGTTCTGGTACCTTCTTCTGCCCTCAATAAGCACATGCATACAGATAAACACATACAGGTGAATGAATATATACATACATGTAGACAAAACACTCATATGTAAAATAATAAATCAATCTTTTAAATATTAAAGAAAAAATTAGGAGATGAAGTTGAAATTGGTCCCATGAGGACGGGTGGTCGGTGTCTATCAGGCATTGTGAAGACTCTAGCCCTGTCATGGTAGTAACGGTGTGGGTGTAGGAAGCTCAAAGGCCTCAGTGTGTCTGGAAAAGAAAGAATGTGCCCTAGAATCTGATGAGGATTCCTTTTCCCTTCAATGCTTTTTGGGGTTTCTGAACGCTAACTGGCTGTACCAAAGGTAAAATTTGCACTCAAGCCTAGTCGATCCTTTTTGACTCCATTAGAATCTCTTACAACAAGACAGAAAAGTGAGTGAGTGAGGCTGGAGAGATACCTTGTCTACTCTTCCAGTGGACCTGTGTTTAAGTCCCAGCAACCATATGGGGACTCACAGCTGTCTGTAAACTCCAGTCCTAAGGGATCGACCATCCTCTTTTTGCCTCCACAGGCACCAGGCATGCATGTGGTACACAGATGTACATGTAGACAAAACACGCATACACTTAAAAATAAGTTTTTTTAAAAGTCTGGTTTATAGAAAAGTGAGTTATTTCTTTATTCACAACCAACTACAGGCAGCCTTCCTTGGAAATGAGGCGTGTAAATGGCTCTAAGTCAGTTCCAGTGGAGAGCATATGAACACTGGTCAGTCTTTGCACTCTGCCGTCACTAATTCAGTCTTCTGGTGTGACCGTTTAACCACATGGTATCTTGTAAGACACTTTGCTTTAGCTTTCATCACGATTCCCTAACATACCTATTGAGAGAAGTGTTGGGTTTTTTAAGTAGTGTTTATATTTTTTTAGGCAGTTATTTGCTTTTACTGAAGTTAAGTGCTCGGTCAAGCATCACGAACACTTGTATTCCTATAGTATTTAAGAGGTTAAAGTTAGAGGACTGGTTTGAGTTTGAGGCCAGCCTGGGTGACCCAGTGAATTCCAGGCCAGCATAGGTTACAATGTGCTGTGGATGATTGATTGATAAATAAAGTGCTGATTGGCTAGTAGTCAGGCAGGAAGTATAGGCAGGACAAGGAGAGAGAATTCTGGGAAGAAGGCTGAGTCAGTAAGAAGCTGCCAGCTGCTGCCATGAAAAGCGAGATGTAAAGCACCGGTAAGCCACGAGCTACATGGCAACATATAGATTAATAGAAATGGGTTAAATTGGGATATAAGAACTAGATAGCAAGAAGCCTGAACCATTCGGCCAAACAGTTTAAATAATATAAGTGTCTATGTGTTTATTTGAGTCTGAGTGGCTGCTGGCCCAGGCAGGACTGGAGATAACTCCAGCTACAACAATGTGAGACTTTATCTCGAAAAACAAACAAACAAAAAAAAAAAAAAGAAAGGCTGAGTGAGATCAGTCAGCACTTGGGAGATTGAGGCAGGAAGAACATAATTCCCAGAATAAACTGGAATAAACATCGTAGCAAGGTCATCTAAGAACAGACCTGGCAGAAGGTAAAAGAATGAGGAAAATGTCCGGACAGTAGTATGAGAGCTTACTTCCTCCAAATGTCCTGTGGAAACAAGGGCAGTGCATTGTCTCAAGATGCCTAGGCTTCGGCTTTCTAGGTTTCTAGATTATTATGAACAAAAACAGTGATCATTTGTTGTAGTTCTCATACTTGAAAGCATCTGGGGATAGTTCATAGTTATGTCAGTCGAAAAGCTTTGCTTTTGTGGCAACATTTTTATAGCTTGTGTGAATTCCTTTTTTATTTAATGACACAAAACAGTATTTTTGCACAGTTGTAACCATGTGTGGTGGTGTCACTATAACCAAAGTATATGCACCAGCCCTTGTGCATTTATTGTTCCCTCTGGTGTTGTGCACTTAAATGTCCAAATACACACCTTTGTGACTGTGGAGGATCTGGCAGCACAGCATGCCCGTGACCTGCCTGCTGCAGTGTGAGCTGTGACCAGTAGCAGGCCCTGTGAAGTCCTGAGTTGCTCAGGCAAGGGAGTACATTATAAAAACTAACCTTGTAACAATAAATCTACCTTAGCTGAAAAATGTTTTATGTGAACTTGTACAGTAAATAAAGTGGAAATTATCAGTAATGGTTTGACTAGTCTTTGCTAGCTAAATTGACTCCGGCCAGAACTAGTTACTTTGAAGTTGTTCCCGTCAGATGGTTTACAGCACTGACATTAGCCATGTTAGGCTTTTTGTGCCTTGCTCACCTGATGGTTCTGCTGGCTGAGGTTTACAAGGAAACCCTGGTGTCTCTCTTGCTGCAAGTGAAGTGCCAGTGGCTGTGAAGCTGTCTCTTCCTTCCTTGAACCCTTAGAGCTTCACAGTCACTTGCAAGGCAGACAAAAGAGTGGCTGCTGGAAACAGTTGAGTTCTGGAAGGGACCTGGAAGCTCAGTGTCCCCCTTCCCTGAAAAGGCCATATGTGGCCTTCTTAATTTTGTAAGCGGGTCTCCCCACAGGAACTATAGTTGCCCTTGGAGGTGGGAAGTACAGACCCTTGCCACCGAGTCATAGAACTTTGCCAGTGTTAAAGCAGATTCCCAACTTAAAGTGCATGTGTGTGCAGTTGGCCATCAGAAATTGGTCGCTGCAGGTCTGGCCACCCCAGTGTCTCTCCTTGGTTGGTTTCCTTACTTGGAAGGAAGTCAGAGCCTGGCTTCATTAGCTTGTACAAACGGCCAGAGTGAACAGTTACAGTGGGGTAACATTAAACAAGCTGACCTTGTGACTGGAGACAAGGCTTGGTGATCAAGAGGACAGGCTCCTCTTCCAGAGGCCCCTGGCCGGATTACTAGCATCCACATGGTGGCTCACAGCTGTCTGTCTAATTCCCATTCCAGGGTGTCTGAGGTCTCCTCCGGTACCAGGTGTGCGTGCAGTATACAGACAAACAGATGTGCAGGCAAAATACCTGTACACAGAAAATCTTTAGAAGGTTAAATTATAATCTACAATCCCATTTAGATCATTACTAACAGCAGAAATCCAAAGGGTCTCACTACTTCCTGGTCCACTTTTTAAACTACTACAGAAAACTTTAGTAAAACCAAAGGCTGTGGAGCCCTCTGGACTTTGGACTATGTTGTGACACAAAATGGTTGGAATGGCACCAGATCGCCTCTTCAGTAACCCTAACTGATGCTCTGAGAGTAGTGTGCTGTCAGAACACGTTTGGGACCAACTCACTGAAGGCAGTCTTGCTTTCTCACAGAGAAAAGACACTACAAAGTGGTAACAACTCCAAGGTTTATGTCCTTAGGGATCAACTTTCTCTCTTGGGAAGAGACAAAAACCTTTATAGCAAAGTGGTCACTCAGTGCCTGCTGTGACTTCAACACTGGCCACTGCTGAACAGGGGCCATTCTTCTATTTGCCACTGTGGAGTTCAAGAACTTAAGTCAATCACCTGTGGTGATTATATAACTAGAAGTCTACAAACCTTGATTTTAAGTTTTAATGTTCATGCTATTAAACAAATTAGACTAATTTCAGTTAAGAATCTTTTTCTCTACAGACCCTGTTATAGTAATGTAAATAAATTTAGAATTGCAAAACCTTTACAAAGACATTTATTAACATTAAACAATTTTATTTAGAATTTCTAAAGAAACAAATTCAAGACAGTTCTTCCAGTAGGTAACAAAATAATCTATTGTTTAAATTCCTTCTCATCAAGATGACTTTATTCCATAACACAGTACATCAGCTGGGCAGGTTTGCTTAACCAGTTGAAATGGTCATGTGCCAGTCACTAGTCTATTGTTTTGTTTGTTTTTGTCTGTAAACACAACTAGGAGAGCCAGGTCATAACTGAATGTGAGATAATTCAGCCCTGAACCTTCAAGAGCAAGTTTGAAATATTACAAGTGTCTGGAACACCTTTTGGTGGCTTCAACAGCTTTTTTAAGGTGTTACCACAAAGTTAGCACTAGGAAAGAACTTTCAGTTTCTATCATAGTGCTCAGTCTTCACCCTGAACTTAAGATACCTTCCTCCTAGAAACCAGAGTGTTCTCACAGCAAGCTTAGTAAGTTAGAAACAGAACAACTAGAGCAGATAATTCTCCCATTAAGGCGCTCTTAAAATTAATTATTAAGGGTCACAGGTAGCGAATGTCCACATACCCAAGGCCCTGCAACCATACATCAGGAATAGCAAATGCCACAAACTGCAATTTTCATAGTGAAGTTTGTTGAGCAATAATTAAATTCAGCATAAGAAAGTCAAAGGAACATTTGAGACAACATTCCTCGTTCTTTATCCATTTGTTAAGGCATAGGAATTGAGCATGCCAAGGCTTCTGGTACCCTCTAGATCAGTGGTTCTCAACCTTCCTAATGCTGCAACCTTTTAATGCTACTACTCTTAATTGTAATGTAAATATGATATGCAACTTTATGAAAGGATCGTTTGACCCCAAAAGGGGTCACTACCCTTATGTTGAAAACCACCGCTCTAGATTCTTACATGCTCCTCCTAAAGAAGCAGATTTGTTACTAGTCTGTGTCACCGTCCACTATGGAAATGGGTATTTTGGGACTCTGGACGTTATAGAAAAGCCTGGCAGAAGTACTTGAGATTTGCCAGGCTCACTCAGCATGCTGGTTGTGAAAATGTGACTAGTCAAATGCTCGGACGCCTCTTCATTTCTCACACCTCTGCAAACAAGACAACTATTTTGCTAGATTCTTTGGTAGGACAGCTTTGACTTAATCTGATTTAGGGAATGAAATTGAACAGCCACATCTCATCCCAGGTTGAATTTTATGACAGACTCCCTACCTGCACACATGCTGAGGTACTACACTGAAAACGTTCAATCTGTCATTCCTCTTTTCGTGCGTACAAATAGGGGGTTGGGAAGAACAAATGCAATCATTTACTTCTTCAGTCCCATCTTAGGGTCCCCAGAACAAATTTGCTTTTATTTCAGTAAGGAAGAAACAGCTGAAATAAGTGGCCCCAGTTTTACTTTAACTTTGTAGAAAAATGCCCTAAAAGGATCAGAGTGAAGTAAACACACATGGAAATATAAGGCAGGGCAAGACCAGGAGACCACAAACAGCACTTTCCTAAGTTGGGTCAATGCTGTGTACTGTGATTAAGACAAGCAATGGTTTAGACATCAAGCATTAGTGTGATTGACATGTGTAGCTACACCAGGGTTCAGTGAGCTATGCTAACTGCCATGTTTGTTGATGAAATGTAGCTGAGATCATGCAGATCAGAATGTTTATGGAAGAGCTTTAAGTGTGATACAGACGTGCAAGGTCTGGGGAAATGTCAAGGCCAGTCTTGCCTGTGTCTTTGCACAGACAACTTTTTTCTTAGCCCCTGGCATTACCTGGAATACAGCAATCACACAGACTGTTTGGCACACAACTTCAAGCTCTCACTCCATGTTGGTCAACGAGGGAAGGTGTGTAGGCATTGGGCCTGTCTGTGGAGTCAGCTCACTAAGCTCACTGATGGCAGTGGTGAGCAGAGCATCCTGAGACACCACGGCTTTGCAAGTAGTGTCTGTAGAACTATTCTCCTGCATGGCAGGCACGTTACCTTGAACTTCCAGTAGGTTGTTAAAATGGCTATTTTCACCAAAAGATAGTAATCTATCTGAAAGTTTGGGTGATGCACATTCATCATCGGGTTGGTCTGTCTTATGTCCTTCATCATTCTTGGGGGAGCCATCTACAATGACAAGGAAAGACTTCCACGGCGTATTTTTATCATGTATCTACAAATAAAACAAAACAAAAGTCACTACATGTGTCTCTAAGTCTCCCAATTTACAGATACTTATTAATAACACATGCATCTTTTAAAACAACATGCTCTCTTCAGGGCATGCGTGGCACACACTCATTAAACAAAACCATGGCATATAGGAGGGTCATGCATGAGTCTGAGGTCAGCCTGGACTACAGTGTTAGACTGTCTATCAGTCAAAAAGTAAATAGTAAGGAGATGAAACAAAAGCTCTCCCTGCCTTTTAAATCTGCTTTCTAGTGAATCGCCCCTGCACTAATTACCAAATATCTGCCTGGCACAGCAGCCACTTTAGGGAAGTGTTTGGCATAGACTTGGCAGTAGGGGGCCTTACCCCTTTACCTTATTCCCTGGATGTCACTGCAGGACACCCCCAGAGAGAAACTGCTACCATCTCTGACCCTCTGGACCAGAATAATGACAGGTTTTCAGGGTTAGCAACCTACAGACCAGAGGGCTTTGTTTCTAAGCAGCCTACCCATCACTTACTGAGGTGTGCCTCCGGAGAGTGGACTTGTCAGTAAATGTCCGTCCACACGCATTGCACATGAATGGTTTCTCTCCTGTGTGGATTCGATGGTGGCGCTGGAGGGCATTTACCTGGGTGAACTGCTTCCCACACTGGTCACAACAATAAGGCCGCTCTCCTGAACACAGAAAGAGAAGGAAACTACTCAATGACCTCTTCAGTCCACTTTATTTAACTCTGGATACACATCTGCATTCCCTGGATAGTCTTGAGCACTCCCCCAAAGGGAAAGCAATATTACAATGACTCAAGAGAGACACCTGGCAGAAGTGCCAATGTACTATAATACTACAATAACCAAGAACTTAAAATTGTACCAAAAATAGGTCAGTTCTGTGTATGCACTGACACTTATCTGTGAAATACAAACCTACTACTCATAGTAATAAACTGTCCTAAATAAACACACACACACATAACATGTATGTGCACGTATGTATACTAACATCCATTCTTTATCCCTGTTTATATCTGGAGGATGCAAATCCATACAAACATCCATAATCAAGCTGTCATACCACAGGAAGCTATGTGCCCTTTCAATAAACACCCCATGCTGCCAACAGACTCTCCCCCATTTGCATACTAAAGTGTTCTCATTTTTCACTTTATCAAAACCACAAACTGGGCCTACCAGGTGGCTCAGTGAGTAACGGCACCTGCCACCAAGCTGGAGCATCTGAGTTCAATCTGTAGGACCCACATGGTGAAAGGCAAGAACCAACTCCCACAAGTTGTCCTCTGGCTTCCACATGTGTCAGGGTACTTAGTCACCCACCACATATTGTAC